TATCTTCAACTTAAAATCTAATCGATTGTTCATTTAAGCTACTCTACGTTCGTGCGATTAATTATATTTTTGCTCGCGCGAGTTCGAGGAAAGTAATCGTGCCCATGGCGTACAGGATATAAAAGCTCACGTGCTGCTCGGATCATCATCCCTCCCTCCCTCGCCCACGAGCGAGTGGCAAAATTAATTAGCGTCTTAATTGTCTCCTGGGCAATGTGCAGCAGCAGTAGCGCGGTGGGGTTTTGTTTTGAAAAAACAGCTCACGCTCTCGGTGTGCTTTTCTTCGGTCCCTGTGTATCTCGATTCCGAGAGTCTCGAGTTAAAGCGAGAAAAAAGCTCTCGAGCTCGCTGCCGAGCCACTGGCCGCAGAAGAGAAGTTTAAATTCTCTGAGCAAAGTGTGCGCGAAGAAACTTTTTCTCTCTCGCTCGTTTTGCAGCTGCAGTAGCTGTGTACATTCGATTTTTTTTTCGATTGAATATCACACCTTTGCGAGCAAACAGTGCGCAGTATATACATAGATATATATGAAACTTGGTTGTACAAGCTCGCTCGCTCGCGCGCGCGCACCTTCAGGAAAGTGAATGAAGTTGCTCTCCCGACGATTGCGCCGTGCTTCCCTATATAGCTTTGGATCGCTATGAGTGTGTAGGCGTTGGGTATATATCGCGGTGAAAGAGAGCGAGGGTGAGACGGAGAGAAAGAACACAGGATGCTCCTGTTGCAACGCCACAGAGCCGGTATATAGCACGTGTTTCTGTTTACCTATATACATCGCTCAGCATATATATAGAGAGAATATAGCATAACGCAAAAGTCACATGAAATTAGCGTCACGACGACGGCTCATTTTGCTTCGTTCGACTCGATTGACCTTTTGGCTCGTCATATTATACACACACATTCACAGGCACATATGTGTACTCCCTATTTTCTGAACATTTTCATAACAAGTATGTATGGGCTGTATAAAATATTAACGGCATTAAAGCTCGTTTAGTCGCGCCGAGGCTCTATATGTATTGACGATCGGTTTAAGATCATGACTGCTCGCTTCGCACTTGACTCTTTTGACTCTCTGCTACGACGACAATATATAATGATAATGTCGCACGCGGGACGAGAGAAGACGACTGCGACGATGCGCCTCTTTTTGATCAGCATCATCATCATCATCGTCGTCCTAGTCGTGTGGCGCGAGTGGCGAAGCGTCAAATGGAACGTTTAGTGCGAGCGATTATTACTCGCGTGTTTTATCTAGCCAGTATCGCGTACTTGAATAATAAATGTCTCTTCAATCGATTTCTCTTGCGCCAGCTCTGTCTGCGTGTGCACGTATTTAAACCGAGCGAGAGCAAAAAAACATTCCATTGTTGAGGAGAGTAGTAATATCGTCTCGACCGCACGCTCGAAATTTATTCCCGCAGTATATACATATTTGACGATACATACAAAAAACAAATATTAACTCGAAAAATAAATGTACGATTTTCGTACAACAAGGCGCCTCGTTGTTACACACACGATCGTGTACATCCAATAATCCACAATGAGGTGACCTGTTTCATATTATAATACGAACATCTCACCGGAAGAGCCTAATAATAACTTTATATAAGGCCGAGTTTGGTATTGATTGGATATGAAAATAATCCGAGGATCGCGTGTATTAATATAACCGGTGAATTAGCGACGACAATTGGGAAATTGTCGAACATGCAGCGCACAAAACGATCTGTGTACGTATGACAACGAGTGATGAAATGTGCACATGTTTTATTATATCCGCAGCAAGAAGACTGCTGCTGCTGTGCAGGCAAGAGCCAAGGAAATATTTGTGCTTGCGCTCCTGCGTTATATTTCGAGTTTGATTCTTCAATTAGCGCCGCTGCCGCGCCAAGCGCGAATTATGTACGAGCGTATGTGTGTATGTGGTTGATATATATCTCGATATTCGTATATGTAAGCTCATGCGTGTGTATGTGTAATTATCGGGTCGGGTAATTATTAGAAGTCAGCTAAGTAGCTGATGAAAATTATCACGCACCGAAAGGCACACACAAATGCAGCAGCAGAGCAGAGACTCGGTAAACCAGTTTTGTGTACGCGCGATATACGACTCTCTCGCGAAAATATCGCGCGGCCCGATATATACATTATGAACTCATTGCTTAACTTTGGTATTTCTCGGCTTTGCTACGAGTATAAGTATATAATAATATTCATACACACATCGGATTCCATGCGTGTGTGCGCGTATAAACACGCGTATCGTATAATTATAACGTAGCCGCGCACACAGAAAGATAGATAGATATTTGGAACGAGAGCAAAAATTATGATTGAATGCCGGGCAGTATGTGTGTAGTATGGCAAAACGTGATATTATACATGGAGCAGCGGCAGTGATCGGCTGCCTGGGCGCGTGCAGCAGCGGCAGAGCAAGCCTACGCACGCTTATAAGCATATAAAAGTAATGATTCATTTTAATTACGCTTAAGCAGCGAACATGTTATAGTATATGGTATATGTACATGAAGCGGAATGATCGTCGTCTGCGAGCTAGTTTGCTGCAGGCAGAGAGAGAGAGAGACCCTGATATAAAAATTCAGCGCTACGGAGAAGAGATTAGATTAATTTTCATTCATCTGAATCGATACGCGTGCATATACATAATGTAATATATTGTATTTATGTGAATTATTTCTCGACCAGAGAGTACGTCTATTTACATTCGAGTATCGCGTATTACGATACCGCTGCTGCTACTGCTGCTGTTGCTCGAGATCGGAGCTGCTCGCTGCAAATTCAAGTCTAATGCTTATTATGTGCCTTAGCTTATTTCGGCTCGATTCAGCCGGTCTATATCAGCGCCAGACTACTCTCCGGATCTTTCTCGCTCTCACCCAACCCTATACCTACTACTACTGCTACTGCTGTACACGTTGCCCTGTCCGTCTCTAATGCTGCCAGATATAGCTCGACTTCACCCCCAGCTCTCGATTGCATTATATACCTATATACTCGTGTCTTTCTCTCACTGTCTTTCTTTATATACAGTAGCAGCAGCAGCAACGGCGGTGGCTACAGCGGCTACGGCAGCGGCTCTGGCAGCAGAAGAGAAGAAGAAGCCAGCGGGAGGAGAGAAGAGGGAGGAAGCTATCCTTATTCCCGCATGGATACGAGCTGGAGAAGTAACTTTCTTAATTACTGAGATTAAGTTAATCGCAGCCAGCCGGCGATAATCACCGACCAACCCTGGCACTGCCGCTGCTGCTGCTGCTACTGCCGGCGCTGCTTTTGCTGCTGCTGTGGCTCATCGTATCGACGGCGCGGCGGCAACAGCGCGCGGCGGCGGCGGCGGCTAGCCTGTCTGCTCTTTCGCCTTCGCACACACCGTCTGTGTATGTGTTTCCTACTTTCTTCCCTTAATTCGCTTTTTTCTCTCCTATTTTTTGACTTCCATCTAATACTCGCCCGCGCGCGCGTTAGCTAGCTGTCTCTCGTTCTTTTTCTATCATTCGTGCAGCACATACACGCACCCACCCACACACTCGTCGTGCACATCCAACTCCGCAAGTCGAAGAAAATCTAACCCACGGCACAAACTCTTACTTTCGCTCTTTTATGTGTACACACGCTACGGGTGGCGGTGGTGGTGCACGTGCGATAGCTGCTGCTGCTTCTGCTGCGCGATTTGCCCGAGAGAAAATGCTCATTCCGCAGTTTCTCGACTCCTTCTTTCTCGCATCTTCGCGCGCGCCCGAGACTTTCATTACCTATATACGCGCGCTATAGGGGCTCGAAAAACTCGTGCTACTACAGCAGCAGAGCTCCTTATGTTCCTCCCTCGCGATTTGCTCTAACGATCACTCGAGTCGCGCGTACTAGCTCGAGATCATAACGACGTTAAAAATAAATTTTTGCACTTTTACGATCTCCGGTGTGGCGGCTACCCCCGCGCCCACCGTCGTCGTATTATTACGATTATATTCAATATAAACACGGGCATTTTCGTCGTCGTCGTCGTCGTCGTGCGCGACAAAAAATTAAAAATAATTATCGGGCTTGCAGCGAAATGAATTTTATCTCTGCTGTGTGTGACTTTTTCTGAATCAACGCGGCGCTGTGCAGCTGTGCTGGCGTTGCCCATTATATACCGATGCAGCAGCTGTCATTGTATATTAAATATCAATGCATTGCCCGAAAATTTATTAATATTTTCTTCTCATTTTAAAAATTTCACATCCGTGTAACGAGAATGTAATGATTATATATATTTTTGGGCACAGAGAGAAAAAGACATTGTTTCGCGCGTAGCATTAAAAGCTTTTTAATATCATTGTCGTCGTCGTCGTCATGCAGAATGACTGCCACCGCGCTTTTTCTGTTGCGATCATATTTAATGCTGATTTTATAATAACGAACGGGAAGATAGCACGTTTCGACTCTAACGAAGAGCGAATTTTCCCCGATATAAAGAATTAAGTTACGTGCCGCGCTTCACCAGAGGGGAGAGAAAAAATCATAATACTTTGAATTTATCCGTTCGCTCGCGGCAGCGAGTCCGATGAAAATCACGAAAGAATCGAGCGTAAGCAATGATAAATAATAGCATAATATTTGCTCTCATTATATACGATCACAATAACGAATAGAGGACGGCTCTGTGGCATTTATCGATAAGCTGATTACTGCGTATAAATATCTAATTACTTGAATATTTTTCAAAACAATGGGTGTTGTGTGAAGCGAGGTGACACACGCACTCACACCGACGTTAATCGATCGCTAATTTTAATGTGAGAAATAAAATTTATTTTGCACGATTTCATGAAATATTCATTCTTATTTAAATGTGACATGAAAAAAATGACAAGTATGAATTAGGTGAAAATTAATTCAAGCAAATAAAACATCGATAAAGAAAACCATGTAATTAATGGACTAAACTAATCTACATATTATATTTATTGATTTATACATATTATATGATGCCAACCTGAAAAGACGCGTGACTGACGCACGTAGGACGACGTGGTTGTAATGGAGGTCGTTGTAACTTTCAAAATAGTTCAGTTATTGCAAGTTTTCGGGCGCGATTAGCGTCACGTAAAATTGTCCACCAAGGTAGATGATCAGTATTTAACGAGTACTTCCAACCCGAAACGATCCTGATCTACAATATGCAACTGTCAATATGTTTTTACGCACAGGTCGATATGTCTTGAAAACTGTCTTATACAATAACACGAACGATAGTTTTTTTATTTTTTATAGAGTAAAACACTGACTTTAGCTTTTAAGCGAGTCTAGAACACAAGAAACACCCGCAGTATATCAACGAACTTATCGAACAGATTCAACGGCACTCGTGTACTGCTTTACAAGGACTTTTATGTACCGATCGCAGCTTTTCCACGCAGAACTTTGTAGCGATTTTCGCAGAGACAAGGTCAACGATGCACTCTCAGAGTCAGGATGACGAGAAGAGCTGCTACACAGCACGTGTGCACGTGTTATACTACTGGCTCGAAGCGTCGCGCGCACGCGCTCGGTCGGAGGCAAGCACGCCTCTTTTGCGAAATTTCAACGCGGCTGCTGAAACTCCGAAGCTGAATGGTGCGACGAGAAGGTGATGATCCGGAATGAATGTTGTTGTTGAACCAGATATCACTCTATTACCGAGCTGACACTGCGCGAAAAATGAAGCACTTGGTCTGTCAAAAACACGACACTCAATTGTACGTGAGTCCAATAAAATATCAGTAGCACATCTAGTGCGTGAAACAACAACAATGTGTGTATTGCGAAAAACGGAGCACTCTATTAGATACGCTGCGAGAGAAGCACAATGTGTCGTGTACACCGGCTCGCAAAGAGAGATAATGCAATGCAGACGACAGAGAACGACAACGAACGACAACGAGAGACGCTCTCGGGGCTTCGTGCGACGCACCTCCTCGCGCTTCGCAGTCTGGCTGCGTAGTGAGAGCCACGAGCAGCACGACCAAGCAATACGTAAGAGCCGAGCAGTCGTCGTAGTAGCAGTCGGCGGCGGTGGCGGCGGCGTCGAGAGAGAGAGAGCGTCGAGGCGGGAAGCTGCTGCCACTGCCGCTGCCGCTGCTGCGCACGAGTCGCGAGTCGACCCGAGGGTGGGGGCCGCGATAGGCGTGACGGAGGCGGACTCCCCGATGCTTCTCGATGCGCGCGCCAGGCGGAGGTGGCAACCGCACGCACACACGTACTGCAGCGGATACACTGTGTAAAGACCCGATCTCTCCGCTGCTGCTGCTGCTGCTGCACTCGCCGCTGCAGATGCATCCCTATGCGAGCTGCACGAGCTACGCAGCTTCGTGTTCGGCTATGTGCATGCGATCGTCGTGTCCTGCCTGCCGCGGCAGCGGACTCCGTTACTCGATTGTGTTTGCTCGCGCGCAGGGAGACGTGGACGCTGCTGCCGCAGCTTCCATGGGGGATCTCGGACTTTAAGCAGCAGTTCGGCTCGCAATCATGCAATTGCGGATTTCTTATCCAACGCTGAAATTAGGCAAATTAATTTCTCAATTGTATCGTAGAAATAGATACACGATGAAGAATTTTCACTTTTGAAGAGACGTTACGGGATCATAGGTGTAAGATTTCTGTCAAAATGTGTAAATCACATCACTATTTCGAAGCAATTTGCTGGGCCAAAGAAACGTAAATTCCGAAGCGTTTTACTTCACGCCAAGTGAACTTTTCACCGCGGGGTTAATAAAAGCTTAGCTTTATGCAAATCGAGCCTCAATGCCAAAGGTGTGGTGGTGCAGGGGCCTTTGAAGATTTAATAGCTCAAAGTTTATAAAGAGGTTGCGCGCGCGCGCGAAGTCATTGAGCCTAACTCTATAGTCTTTGCTTCTTCGCGAAAACGTGTTTATATCACTATATTTTCCTATATTGTATCGTTGAAGTCAACGAAGAAAATGAAGACTTTGAGTAAAGTCTCTGATGACAGTCGCCGCAGATTGTGCGGTTTTCCAGGATTCGAGAAATTTCACTTTATTTACTTCATGTACTTGAGCGAGTTACCTGCGCTGTATCACGATGCCCGCCTTTTCTAATTCAAATGTAATCTATTATTTATTTTCGGTATTACCGGCGATATATAAATAAAAAACTGAAATGCACTTTGAAAGGGGGTCGAAAAACGATAATCTTTTATTATTCGATTCAAACCAGTATCATATCAATCGTGATATTTGAATACAATCGAGATTTTTAGATTTCGCTTGTAGCAGAAAAAAATTGGAGATTTCCATTGTCGATGCTAAAAATACTAAGAATCTGTCACTGTTTATGACACAAGCCGATGCAAACAAAACTAGGAATCAACTTTTCACTGTTTCAAATAATCTTAACTGAGAATAAGTCGCGATGACACGATTTGAACCATATGAAAGCGGAGCATTGAGACCAGAATTTAATGCAATTTTTAAAGGTAAATCTATAAATATTATCCTAAGTATAGTTTTTCTGCGCATTTATAGTTATTAAATTATTGAACTTTGCATATTTTTAATTGTGACTTTCATCCCTATCTACAATCATGTCTTGGTTATTTCACTGTTCGTATTTATGAAAATGAAAATGACATTATAAGGGTCTTTAAGTAACAGCTCGATTTGCACCCACGTCTCTCGATACCTCGTAAATTATACGAATATTTACGTCAAGCTCCATAACCTGCTATATTCGCGCATCTTTTTTTATATCTAAAGTCCTTTTTGTCGTCCAGGCGCGCGTTATCGCGTCGCGAGCGCGAAAGCTCGTTTGTATTTACACGGTGCTATCCTGTATAGTACGCCCCACGCAAGCAGCAGCAGCAGCAGCAGCAGCAGCAGTACTCGCTTGGCCATCGACAAGGAATGAAAGCGCATTTTTCGTTCGGCTCATACTCGTTCTCTATAACATATACACGTCCAACACGGAAATTCAAGGTATTAATTTCTTTTTATCGACAGGTTTTCCCCTACGTGTGGCACGGCCTTGCGCTCGCCTAGCTACGCCAATGATGCAGCAATCTATTGTTGTTGCAATAATTCTACTGGCGCTGCCCTCTGCCTCTTTTACCCTCCCTCCCTTCCAGCGCCACGGCTCCTGTGCCGCTTTTCTTTTTCTTTTTTCCTCAACATTTTCCACTGGCGCCAATATCCATCCGCGTTCGTTCGTTCGTCTATCTGATTTTATACTTTCGTATCTGTATATGCAGTGAACGGGATTTTTCCTGGTGTAACTACAAAGTGGTTGTGATATCAAACTTGTTTTGAACAACTTCTTAATATAAACGTTATGGATAAAAAATAATAAATGAATATTTTTAATCTATATATTTTAAAATCAAAGACTTGAAGTATACGATCCTTATAAGAATTAATTATATAATTATTTATGTGCAGTAAGAGAAAATTTCAATCTGCATAAAAATCCATTTCGACAAGCATAGTATCAACTACTTGTTCCGGTAATTTTTAACGTAATTAGTCATATTTTATAAGGCTCTTTTGATAATCTCAGTCCTAGGCAATTCAGCTTTTGTGCAACTTCGTCGCGTTCTTGTAATTCTCACTCTTTAGATGAAAATGACCGTTCATTTTGGGCCAGGATTGTCTAGAACTTGACGCTGCATATTGTAACGTACACAATTATGTATTATAGCATATTTAATTTTGCAAACATGTGAATAGTACATTTACCAATTTTGGGCTTCCCGCAAGCTTTTTATTCTTCGGTAATGAGGTCTATCGTGCTGAAAGGATCCTCCATAGCCGTGCAAACATCCTATTCTGTGGTGAATTTTTAAATTTAGCCCTGGCCCGTTTTTGGTCCATAAACTCGACGAACAGGAAGATTCCTGACATACCCAATACTTAAGTTTACTGCTAGAGCTATGTCTTGTGAAAATAAATCCATCTAGAAAAACCGTAGATAGAATGACCGACTCTGATAACTTCTAACGTTTCCATTTTTTTACGATTTATACAAATTTTGTCAGAGTTAATAGTTACCAGTGAGGCTGGCCCGAAGGTTTTAAATTAACTAATGTTATTGATACGTAAATTAAGTTGTTTGTTCGTCATTGTTTCGCTGTTTAGAGCCACGGGCGAAGGTTTGTATACGTAAAATTGTAAAGACAAAAATTAGAGTTTCGTTGGTATTTAGAAATAAATATATAGGGTAGTCGGACCAATCAATGACCGGGTACCAGTAAAAGACCACATGATCAATTACCACTTATAAATTGAATGTACGAATGTTAATCTAATTTATAATAGCTTTCCAACATGAAACAATGTTATACCTATAATTTTAATCAACTTTCAACCCATATAAGTTGCATTAACCACGCATAAAAAAATATTGAAATTTTTTTGTGGTCATTCACTGGTTCGAAGCGTCGATTTGCATACGACCAAGAAGTGACCGATTCTTTGAGAATACAATAGTATACAGGTTAAGTTTATTATTAATCTATTTGTATTGATTTTATAATACGTTCTTTAGACATTCAATGATGAGTGTTAAAAAAAGTAATGAGATAATATATCTGTATTCATGTGTAAAATGAACATGTTCAAAACTAAACGAAATGATTTTATTTGGAAGAGAGAAAAAAAGAGAGAGGTATAATACATGGGCATTTAAGTATTAGATAGAGTAAGATACTTTTTTCATAATTTTATGTTGCATATCAAAAACAAAACGTTTAACGTGTCTCTTGAAACCAAACTTTTTTGACCAAGTTAGCAGATTTTTGAAAAATTAAACTAATTAAATTTTAAGACATCATTCAATAGCGATAGAGTAAACTACAAATATAAGTAACGATTTATATTTTATATATTTTTCCCAATTATTGAACCATAAAGAACAAACATAAAACCATTTTTTTTCGACTAAAATATTTTGTTGCGATTTACACAATATTAACATTGAATGAATACGGAAAAGCTTTTTTAATGCTTCCACGCATTGGTAGCAAAAAATTAGAATAGAAAGATCGCAGTGAAAGCTTATGAAATTGGAGGCGAAGTACGAAAAATATAGCCCGATCTGAATTTGAACTAGACCTAGAAACCGATTTCAATGCTCAACACACAGTTTTCTAAATCTACACACACACCCACACATACACATGCACACAAGTTGCATGTACGAAAGAAAAGAGAAAAATAAAAAGAAGAAGAAGAGGTGCAATGAAACGAGCAAGGCACGCAGGTGGTATGGCAAAAAAAGAATAAGAAAGAGGAAGTAGAGCAAAGTAGAGCAACAAGCTGCTACACATAGGCGAGGCAGCGGCAGCACGAGCACGCGCGCGCGAGGATCAGATGTGTGTCTGGTTACTGCATCGAAAAGATTCACGTGTTAGCCGTTCACGTTGCTGCTGCTACTGCCTCGGTCTCGTGTGTGCTCGGCTCGGCGGCGTCCAATGAATGAAATCAACTTGTCGTTCCTTTCCTCTCGCTCTCACCTATACACGCTACAGTACTCTGTGTGGAAAAAGTCCAGTGTAAATGCATATAAAAGCTCCCCCTCGAGCTTTTGCAGGGAGAGAAAGAAAGAGAGAGAGATGTCGAGCTCGCTGGGGTATACACAAAAGTCGGAGTATACGGTACATGTGTGTGCAGTGTATACATACACGCACACGTGAATAGAGCGAGATATGCGGGTCTCGCGTGCTTTCGCTCGTTTTCCCCCTTCTTCTTCTTCTACTTCTTCTTCATCGTTTTGCTTTCTATGGTTGTGCAGCTCGACAGCGTACACCTACACACACGTATATAATACTACGGCCAACAAGCCAGCGTAGGGCCGCATGGTGCGAGATTTTCTTTTTTCTTCTGCTTGCAGACCAACATTCGGTATACACACACACGTCTGTATATTATACGCACGGCGCCGCCACCGACACTCTCTGCTGCTGTCCCGATTGCGGCGCATGACTCGTTGTTTCTTTTTTGCATTCATTCAACACGGCGGACCGATC